CCTACCGCAAGCCTACCCTTCGGGCGAATATCTACCTCAGCGTCGCCACAGATCAACGGATATTCAACTGATTTTAATACCCATTCTGTGGTTATGAAAGACGATTCATCGCACGTTTTTTATTCTGTGTCTGCAAGGGTAAGTGACGTCAAGAATTATATGAACCTTTGGGATTTTTAGAGGTCCATTTTAACTGTGGTCTTAATAAAATTAAGATACAGTCGAATGACCTTAAATTTGATAAATGCAGTGAAATACTTTTTTTTAAAATAAAATTAACAAGAAATTAAAATACTTGGTATGATAACAAAGACTGCTTCTACAATTATTTAATCAAACGAAAATTGCCCTTAAACGTTTTAAAATACAAATTAAGTTAGTGAAACAGCGATAAAACACTAAATAGGTATGTTATTAACACAGTTCATGTTTTCAATTTAATAAAGCTACAGACTTCTATTGTATAAGACCAGACACGGTCTTGACGACACAAGATTCCTATTCCAAAGCGCTCCGTTCCACTGTCAAATCTAAGTCAGCACAGTTAAAGGAATTGATAAATCTAACCCGGGACCTCACCTTCGGGATTTTAAAATTTTATCTCACGTTATTTCATCCTGTCAACATTTTTATGTGTCAAAGTGAAATATCGCTTTAGTAAATAAGTAGGGTCAGTGAAATTTACTTTACTTACTTTCATAGTTATCGTTATTTATAAGCTGTAGTTTCAATGTAAAACCATTACATTTTCGACATCACATTACATTTTATTTTACTACTTTTACTATAGAAGACAAAATAAAAAATATTGTAATACGATTACTTCCTCTAGTTGAATTGTAATGAAATTTTACATTAATGTAAATTTTACAAACGAATGAAAAACGAAATAATAGGAAGTATATAACATTAGGTGCGGTTTAAATATCATAGGCAGGCCATCCTAAAAAAAAAACATATTCGCCATAATTTTTATGTAGAAATCTGTACCTTTAATGTATATTTTTTCTTCATAAAGTTAATGTAAAAGCAATTAAGATCCAGCTTCTAAATGAGTTATAAGAAACGGTACGTGAGTCGGTTACATCTAGATGTACTTACGAAGTTTTTATATAACTTGTCATTAACTTGAATGCTCGTTTCATAGCGATGTTACTTTAGAAAATTGGTTTCTATAACTTTACTGTTGTCAATTAAGCGAAATTAACTTTAATTCAAATTTATGTTCATTTGAGATTGTTTTAAAGCCAATGCAGGTATATTGACCTGACATACGCGTATGCTGAAAATATGTTTAATGTCTCGAGACTCGAATTCAAGACTTCTTAAGCACGCACCATTACGTTAAAGGTCTATTGCTATATAATATGAGTTTCTTACTTGCTATTTCCAAGATATTACTACTAAATTAGATCTTTTAAACGTTTGAATAAAACACTTCAAAGATTTAAAATGCGATATATATTAGTTAAACTGACCACGGCTGCTGCAGAGCATCCGAAAAGTAGGGCTGCAATCAAAATGATTCAAATAAGTTAAACTAATATATCTCGCGTTTTAAACCAAAAAAATCATTTTATATAAAGGTGTACTACTCGCGTAAACTCCAGACAGTATTTTAAATGTTTTCAGAAAAATGTTTCATGAAAATCTGTCATGCTATTTGCGCTTAGACAGACGTTCTTTTTTATAAACCATTGCATCGTTTTATATATATATATATAATGCAAAATTTATTGACAGACAAATACTTCTCTCCGAAATAATTACGAGTGTACAAACAGAACAATTGTAACGTTCTAACGAGTTTACGGAGGGGATGCTCAGCGCAAAGAAATTTAATTAGTGCTCATCTAGATAATTCACTCACACAATAGATGGCTGTAAGACAACTTGAGAACAGTTGAGACGAAAATACAGACACCAATAGTGGAACACTTAAAAACATTACTCTAAAACTTAAACTTATAATATGGATTTAGCGTTTAATAAATCGTGTAAGGCTTTCACGGCCATCGTTCAGCATATCATTGTCTTTGGGGCCGTTCGGCCGATGTGAGCGAGAAGAGGTTCTCGACGTTTTGCCATCGTACGTGTGGACGGCATCGTCAGGAGATGTTAACTCCTCGATTGCTCAAAGAATTATGAGCAATCGAACAGCCCGAAAGACAATGATATGCTGATTTAGCGTTTGTTTCATACATTGAATGAAATCTTGAAACTTAACCTTAACTTAATTAAAGCTTGCAATATAAAGTAAACCATGCCTTTTAATTTCTTATTTCGGACAAATTAAAACTAAAACCGTTGCTTCTTAATTTTAGTAGTTCTAATTTCTCACATGTACTAATTTGAAATGAAATTGTGAAAAATTGGTTTTACAAATATAAATACTGAAAATATTAGCCATAACGAGAAATATGCTTTTAATTCCTATTTGAAAACAATGGACTTAAAAAAGTATAAACATACATAAAAAACCTATTAACTGTTTAAAACGCGAAACATATTAGATTATTATTGTAATTAATTGCTTAGAAGCCACACGAGAACCCGTTATATGATTATAATCTGTCGCATAAACTACAGACAATATTTAAGAAGAATATGTTTATTAATTCGTGGTCTAGCTCGACGACCACCACCTCTGTGTGTAGTTTACACTCGGCGCAACAAATCTTAATCCAATTATCGAATTCTAAGGAATACGAACAAGACCTTTCGAAACTAAGTACCTGCAAGCGCTTTATAATGTGAGATTAGCATCGAAAGCTCTTTATTTTGGATTCAGTGGAAGCTTTAGTTCTTTTATGAATAAGTTCACAGAAACAGATTAATTTTCGTTAATGATAACTTGATGATTAATTAATCTGTTTACATCAAAATATTGATAAATTTATACGAAATTCGTAGGAGTAAACGGACAACTGTCGGACTCTTTGGTCTAATCAACGGGTCGTGGGTTCGATATCAATCGAGTCCAATGTGTTTATAATTTATCTGAAACATGTTAGTCTTCGTCTGGAAATATGGATATTAAATGGGTGGTAGAAATATAGAAATTCCATCCGGGTCACGAAGCACGAACCACCTATGAAAAAGCCATGAAGCTTAATCGCGTTTCGGTTTCAGTCTGTGGATTTCCGAATATCCAAAGCCAAAATAGGTCGACAGTGCATCTTGTTTAGATGCTATAGGCTGGGGTATTTTAGGTATCTGAGTGAACGTCATGCTTGTCTGTCCTCCTCTACCATTAAAAAGAACCGCCATATTGGAAGTAGATATTACACGTTTTACTCTCTTTTTATCGTTAGGTACTAACTGAGTATAAAAAGGAACAGTACAGTATTAAATTTAAGTAGAATATTAAATTATTTCAGCTAAAAATGATTGAGTGCCTCTTTATAATATATATTTGTTATTGCATTTAACATGTATACTTGAAGTCACTTGTAAAATAAATTACGAAACACTTACATAACTTAGTCAAAGCTAGGTCAACGACCTTAAGTGGTAATATGTAAGACGTTAGGTTAATAATCAATATGGACAAGTATCGCAGAGATGAAGTTAAAACAGGCTTCCCTTTATATTGGGGAAGGTCGAGCACCCTACACCGTGTAGACGCCTCTTGTTAAGGATACTGTGTTCGTGCACACTACGGTTACAATTTATTACTTTCTATTTAATATGAAATTGTGTAGACTGGTATATTTAACATGACAGAAATTTACATTTAAATAAAACTCTTTTAACGGTTTATAGCGCGAAATATATCTCTTAACTTATTTTTAAGCTCAAATTACTACGCCCCAACTTTTTGATTGCTTTGCAGCAGTCGTGGTCACGGGGGGACAAGTTAGTAAGGGTTAATGGAAATTAAAAAAAAAACAGGTAAAATTATTTATCTTTGTACATTTCTGTCGCGTGCGCTGCGAAAACGGTTAAAGATACCCAAAAAAAAGTATTAAAGAACGATTACTCGTAAAACAATTTAAAAAATGTCTGCGAGAGTATATGTCTATCATTTAAGATTGACTTAACGACGGAATACGGACGATGTCGTTAGTTAGTCGTATAGTAGTAGCTATAATTTAAAAAGATGAGGAGGTTTGCAAAAACAAATTTTGGTCCCCAAAATAACTATTAATAAGTACGCGGGCACAACTAGTCTTATATAAAGGGCTTCCTTTAAAATAAAAGTGTATGTGAGTTAAGTCGATGTAATTATTAATTTGGAGTGTTTCACTCATAGTCATCGCATATATATTATTTTATAATAGTCAGAATGTGTACGAGCATCGGTGTTCTGATGAATACCTCTTGCCAAACTTGACTTAAGAGCCGGACGTCTCTGCTTTGTCACATAGAACAAAGACTTGCTTATCAAGACATGTTTCGGAACACTAATTAGTTGTTTTGACGGAATAAGATGTTAAACTAAGATATTCAAAACAGTCCATTTGTATGTCCATAAGAAAGTTTGAAAACTAACTATGCCGTTTTGTATACAACTTTACGAAATCCATATATAATTTGTTCAAAGCAAAATGAAAGATAAAAAGGTGTTATGACGTGTTATTGAAATGCGTTGCGTCCTATTATGCTCTGAACATTCAGAAACTATGTATATAACCATTAGGTATGATACATTCATACCTAATGTCTGTTAGTAACAATTTATAATATTACTAATTAATAAATAATAATAACACAAAGGTCGTGGGTTCGATTCCCACCGGGTCCAAAATGTGTCTACCCTTACCTGTCTCGTTACGGTTTAATCTATTTATTTGCAAATATTTAACCAAACGTAGGTCGATAAGGCATCTAGATTGTGAACCCTACACTTGTCTGTCGCCCCCTATCATTGTTTTATATATTATATAATTAAAATTTAGTTTTGCTTTGCGATCCTTATTTACATTCCTATGAATGTAAATAAAGATCGCAAAGTCTATTCTATAAATTATATATAATTATTCTATAATTTCTATAAATTATATAAGAAAATCGGAACCGATCCCGGAATCGTCGCATTTGATCGGCGCAGTGACAATTTGGAAAGCGTTGCAGTAGCCGATTCCGTCTTCCGCCGGCGAGAGAACCACCAATTTGGCTCCGGAACGGAAGAGACCCGTCTTCAGAGCGAAGGTTGTGCCAAAACGTACGCGATTCCGCCACTCCTGGTGCCAGCAAGCAATGCGGGGTGCTGTAATTGCGCGACATTATGCTAATATGCGTATTTAGGCCATTGTTTTACCGAATTAAGTCATCGGGTGTGGACAGCATGAGATAACGTTATGCTAATTTCAGCTTAATGTTCTCATTTGTATATGCTTTAATGGAGAAGTACCAATGCCGGCTGATATGTTGTAATTAAGTATGAGATAATAGATACAACACGTACAAACTATTAATGCTTCGATAATTTACTGGAGGTTTTTTAGGAGTTTTAACCCTCCAGGTTGCAATGGGTGAATTCCTTTAAATTTACAATATTGCAATTTTTTTTATAAAATTGACTTTATTTAAGTAACTTAAAAAAGGTGTCACCGAAGAGACCTACATATAGTTGTTAATAATAAGAAAATACATCATTGAGTAAAATAATGTAACAAAGTTTAATGTATATGTTTTTATTGAGAAAAAGTAGACGCTAGACTTTACTTGGTACTAATTAAGAGCATGGCTTCAGTTGAAATATTTAAATTGTAATGCAATATTGTAAATAAAATTAAATATGTATTGAATGAAGAGAATGAAATTGGAGGAAATTCCAATCTCTACAAGTTTTTATAGAAGACTCAAAATTTCGAATTAACATATCTATCTATAATAAGATTACACTAACCATTGTAGAACAGCGGTATCACTTTTCTATACAAATGCAAGCGTCTTGAACTTGACTTTGTTATTGCTATTATTGGACATGGGGGTGCAGAATAGGCACACCATCTTGCCGAAATACCGCTTTTTGTAAACACAATTATTGCTCCCGCGTCGCATTTTAAAGCAGCAAGTGATGCAGCTAACGCGGTGGATATACTTGGTAACGCAGGTATTCGAATCTATTACGAAGAAATTATGAGTTTAAAATTTATTTTGAAATTTTTGAATATTAATTATTGATAGACAATTAGCTATATTTTAAGAATACTAGAATTTTTTTCTATAATTTTGTTATTTCAGTTAAGACAAAATTATTTTCAATTTTGTGTTAATTGTAATAAGAAAGTTATTTAAATAAAACACTTTAACGGTTTAAAACGCGATATATTAGTTAAACTTATTTGAAATATAAATATACATATATATTTTAAATTTGTTTTTAAACCCTGTCTGTAGTTTACGTGAGTAGTACACATTTAAATAAAACATTTTAACGGTTTAAAATGCAATTAAAACATTATATCGCATTGTAAACTGTTAAAGTGTTTTATTAAAAATATATTTTGTCTAATGGTCTTTTTGCACTTCTAAAAACATACTGTGTTGTTTAAACTTAAAAAGGTTAAACAATTCAAAGGTACATAACCTTAAAATTACTAAACTCTTAAACTCATACTCTTCCTTACTTGAAAACTAAGATTCAGATAATCTTCTTCAGGGCTTATATTTGATTCAGCAAAGCTCTCACGATAGACCTGACAACATCTCTTGGTGGCATTTCCACATCAACACTATCTCTTATTGCGATACCATCCACGTGGTTATCAACTATGTCTGCCACAATTTTAATAACTCGTCTATCTCTATCTACTAAGTTGTAATAGTCTTCGAGAATGTTCGGTTTCATATAAAATACTGGTTTATATAACTGTAATATTTAAAAGATTATTTGAATTCTTTAGAATTGCACTAGTGTAAGTTGTAGAACTAAAACTTACACTAGTGCAACTTGTTATATGCATACATGCCTATAAAGTTTAAGAGTCTACTTAGCTTAATTGTAAATCCCGAAAGGTCCAGGGTTCGAACTCATACTCATATCGTTAAAAACATAAATTTGATAAACAGAAAATTGGTGACCTATATATCTGTAAATAAAATGGAACTGTGAAACGACAGATCATAAGTCTATATTATTAACTTTTTGATTAAATACATTGAATACTTTTATATAATAGAGCTTACTTTTTTACAAAACCGCAAAGCACAATCACAGTATTCTTCGCTGTAAAGATTTTCTCGCTGATGATCCAATATGACACCATCTGAAAACTGTAATACGTTTTCAAAAATGCAAATTTAATGTAAACAAATAAAGAATACAATTTATTACAATGTTACAATCAGGTATTATTTGCTTTTGTTTAATTTATTTATTAAGTTTACAACGTAAATATATAAATACGGTTTTAACTCATGAATTAACAATTATTATTATATTGTCTGTAGAACATTTTTTTTTTATTTTTAACGATTTAAAAATACAAGTTAACCAATATAATAGTTATAAGCATTGAATTAATAACGGGCTCACAGGTATAATGGTAACAACGTATCTATACTAATATATAAAGCTGAAGAGTTTATTTGTTTGAACACGTTAATCTCAGAAACTACTGGCTCGAATTGAATTGAAAAAATATTTTTGTGTTGGTTAGAGCATTTATTGAGAAAAGCTATAGGTTAAACATCGCCCTATGACTAATACAAGCGAAGATACACCGGGAAATGTAAACAAAAGAAAAATGTGAAAAGTTTTCTAGGTAAAATAATAATTCAACAATACTCTTATCAGTTTTTCAAGTTCATCTCCATCCCATTTCTTTAACCAGAGTATAAAAGGTTTTCTCGTCATTACAGTATTGTTGCTTCGCTTAAATCTTAAGTATTGATCCAAATTACATACATCTTTTATAATTACGATGTCCACCTGTATAAAATAAAAGGATTAAATAATTCCATACACGCGATATATATTAGTCGAACTTATTTGAAAATTATTTTAACTAGAGGAAGCCTCCCCGAGACCTCGGCTCCTGCAAAGCATCTGAAATGTCGGGCGGTAGTAAAAATAATTCAAATAACTTTGAAAACATTAATATTTTTAATTTATTGCACATGAAGGCACTATATAATTTAAAAATGAAAATAATTGAAAAAATTTTCACTCCAGAAACCGATTATTTCGTGCTGTTGCTCTACCAATTGAGTACCATCCTACACTCATCTCAATTTTTTTTTCAATTATTGATACATGCACCTCTCGCGCAATGTAATTTCTACCTTAAATTGGTATTAAGGTCAATTCTTATGCTTTGCAGCTTAAGAAATATTGAAGATGAAATTACAAAGTTATAACGTTTGAAAAATTAATATTTTTCACATTTATTGCACATGAAGGCACTATATAATTTAAAAATCGAAAATAAATTGAAAAAATTTTCGACTCGGGCAGGACTTGAACCGGCATCGTCACTTTCCGTGCTGTTGCTCTACCAATTGAGCTACCGAGTCCTACACCTCATCGTCGAATTTTTTCAACTTATTGATACATGCACCTCTCCGCAATGTAATTTCTACCTTAACACTTGCGTATTAAAAAAAATTTTTTCAATTTATTTTCGATTTTTAAATTATATATGCCTTCATGTGCAATAAATGTGAAAAATATTAATGTTTTCAAACGTTATAACTTTGTAATTTCATCTTCAATGATTTCTTAAGCTCAAAGATAAGACATTGAGCCTTAATACGCAAGTGTTAAGGTAGAAATTACATTGCGCGAGAGGTGCATGTATCAATAAGTTGAAAAAATTCGACGATGAGGTGTAGGACTCGGTAGCTCAATTGGTAGAGCAACAGCACGGAAAGCTGACGATGCCGGTTCAAGTCCTGCCCGAGTCGAAAATTTTTTCAATTTATTTTCGATTTTTAAATTATAATTCAAATAAGTTTAACTAATATATATCGCGTTTAAAACCGTTGAAGTGTTTTGTTTGAAAATTGTTTAAAGTTTAGATAAAAAAAAAACGAGGGCTTCATTAATTACTTGTTTTTATAATTATTTTGTATAAACCTTTATTATATAGTTATTTTAAGTACAGAATAGATAGATAATAGACACTTGATCAATCGAGTTAACTTAACCAAGTTATAATATCTACTCACAAACGCATCAATAAAAATAGGTTCATTTATAGACATCGTCACAGCTACACTTATAGGCATATAGAATTTCGAAGGAAACATTTCTGGAATCTTCTGCGACTTTCTCAGCGCTGATATAGTCTCTTTGTAAAAATGATCGTCATGTTCAGTCCGGTCTATGTTGAAAATGTTCACGCCGGACTTAATAAGAGAATGTAGGTCGTGAGAGTTATATTTGCGCCTATCTGAAATTACGAGAGAATTATTTTTTCTAGCAATGATATTCTTAGTAATTGTGTATTGTCCATTACTAAGGACGCCCGTCATAATTCTGGAGCAAAATGTGTTGATAGAATCGTTGTTTATGTCATGTAATTATTGGATTTCACTGGTTATTTCATATATCTGAACACTTTCTATGAAACAAACACATTTATTTTCGTTTGAAGTTGGCATTAAAAATTTGAGATTATTTTTAGTATTTGAATATATATGTAACAACATAATTAATAAATATAAATTTAATTTTTGATGGGCTCGTTAATTGAATGGTGGTACCGTTTAACGGGTTAAAATGCGATATATTTAGCCGAAACTGGTAGTACCGTGTTTCTAAAGTGCACTTTTTTTTATGAAAATTTGTATATAAATACCGTCACAGTCCATAGGTGGACCGTAAAACGAATTTAGTCTCAATCTGAGGATTTTCAAATGTTTATAACCAAAATAAATCGCCAACGCATCTTGTTTAGAAATTAAACTGTCTGTCCACTTCTATCATAAAAAGAGTGATAATAACAAAGGAACATATAAACATCTCTTGCGTTATTATTATATAGATAAATTAATATCGAACCTGCCTGATGATGTGTAGTTGTGTACATAGAATAAATAAAGTAAAATACATATTTAAATAAAACACTTTAACGGTTTAAAACGCGATATATTAGTTAAACTTATTTAAAAATGATTTTTAACTTCTGCCCGACGTTTCGGATGCTTTGCAGCAGCCGTGGTCACGGGGAGACAGACTCCCGCGTTTTAAACCGTTAAAGTGTTTTATTTAAATGTGTACTACTCGCGTAAACTATAGACAGTAATTAAGTAAAATACATACTAAAATTAAACATTATGCTCGTAGATGGGAATACTCTGTCTTCTTCGTTCGGATCTTGCGATTGGTAGAAGCACAGTCTCTGAAAATGAAAGGATAATTACTAGTCTGAAGAAAGAAATGTTGACATTTTTGATATCTCTGTATTGTAACTATTACCCCTGATCTACAAACGTTTGGGCTTGGCGTATATTTATCAATCCACCACACCATTTTTGTTATTGAAAGTCTTGCCCTGTCATATATCATAGCCCTATAGATGTGACTACTATAGGTTAATACACACACACACATATACCTAATGAGACATTAGCTGTCTTATTTTCTTCATTAAACTCCTAAACGGGTTAAAACCAATATTTTACGAGTTAAAATGCGGGCACATCCATCGTATAGGAAGAACACTTCAATTTATGTGCGTAATTAAGTGGAGTTTGCGTTGGAACCGGTTCCTCGGCACTTTCCAGCGGTAAATGAAATTTACGTACGCTTCCACCTTTCGAACGAGCCTTAACTTTCTGGTGCACGTCATAGGAGCGCGCGATTTATATAGCGGCGACTGTTTGATGGAAGAACAGCTTAGCGACACTCTTTTTGGCAAATTTTGTAAATTAAATCGAGGTCTGATTATAATTACAATCTGCTTTAAAGGCTAAATTATTTAATATATTATACACAAAGGTTATAATTCGATTGATCTAGTTTGGATATTGGTCATTAAAATATGATTTGTGTTTTTCGTTGGTCCAAATCTTTTGTTAATTGAATTTACAAGTTTTTTTTAACATACGGTTTTAAACGAAATAAAAGTTTTTTCGTTTCCTTATATCCGCGCCATCACACAAATTGGACCAAAAGAAAGCTTTTAGTCTCGAAACGTAAGAGAAAAGGGTACCCGAGACGCTGACTTCGAACAATTACATTAATAATCTTTAGTTCACAAAAAATGATAATTTCTCCTTCTGTCGCATTATTTAACTGTGCTAGATGTTTTTTCTATTTTATTGACGCAAGAGTAACGATTTAGACTGGACTTCTACTTCATTAAGGAGACGGTTAACTCAGTTCTTCATGCCTTGAAAACAATAGAAGAAAATTTTTTCGTTTTCTAGATCTTAAATGAGAGGATCGACTCTCTTGAGCGGATAGACATATTTGTGGAAGAAATAATTAAGATATATACACATAACACCTTTGAATAACAACACATTTATGTTTACCCTATGTCCCCCCTGGGGGAAGTAGGATTCCACATTTTATTAGCCTCTATATAGCAATCTAGCTCTCATATAAGAAATCGCGAATGTCACCTTTCCATCTTTTCCGAAGTCTTTTCTTTTTCTTTTATCCCTGTAATACCATTAACTATACATACATAACAATAACATATTACATATGAGATAAAGTATAAACCCGTAACTCTATATATCCACTGACAATGGCGGCGGATTCCCAAATATATTTACGAGGATATACGTTCGTTAGTAGGTACGTGGGTGTCGTTAATACTGCACACAGTACACAGTTATAATGAAGCGAAATATTCATTAGATTGTGTCTGGAGAAGGGCGCCTTCTAAATATCAAGACTCTTAGCTGAGTTTCATTACTGTCGATTTGTAAGTAATTAAAAAATATCGGAGGGGACAGGCTCTATTTATACAAGTATTGTGAAAAATAAGAATGCTTAGCTAAGAATGCTATGTCATAGATAAGTACTAGCTTTGTCAGCGACTTCAGCCTGCTATAATAGTTATTTTGGGCATTAAAAAAATTGGTTTTGGAAATCTTTACATCCTTATAATTTATAGCTGATACCCACGATGTTGTCCGCGTCCCGACGTCCTTGCAAGTTAATCTTAAAAGATTTACTGTACACTGAACGCTGTCTGTTAAAAGATAGGCATATGTCATCCTGAACATTTTAAAGGATCATTTAATGAAAAATTATTCTTTTTGGGTTATAATATAACATAACTTTTGGGGTTTCCCAGCTTTTTTTTCACATTTCATGCTGTTTCTTCGCTTCTATAAGTTTCGCTTTATAAAATAATATCTCAAAGCAGTAGTTCCTGAGATTAGCGCGTTCAAACAAATAAAGAAACAAACTCTTCAGCTTTATATATTTGTGAAGACGAGCCGGCGTACGTTATGGTACGCTTTACTTAGACTTTTAAAATAATTTTATTGCCTTGTTAGGCACGAATTATAACGAATATTTATAAATTCCAGATCTCTTCAATTTGCTTCATATAAAAGCAAACATCAGTTAGCTAATAAATTGTACAAATAGCTTTATCTAATACCCCGCAGTTTGCTATGCAATTAATCCATTTACGGACAAAGAGCTGAAGAACATCCCAACGCTCTTAATTACTAGAACATGACTAGTACTAGAAGTAGGCAACACATATACGATTACTTATTAAGCGGATTATGCGAGTGAGCGGAGGAATGGAGCTGGCAGACGGGCGATGAATTTTTGAGAGGCCTCGACGACGTGTGCATGAAAGCTTTTTTCAAAAGAAATCGGTGTTGCACAGATAATGAAACGGCCAGACTACTTGTCGTGTTTGACGTTTCGTCTTGTTCGTGTTTCGCTGTTTTCGGCGTTCTCGTGTAAATTGTAATTTTTGAATGGATTTAAATTTAAAAAAAACACTTTAACGGTTTAAAACGCGATATATTAGTTAAACTAGTTTGAAAATGATTTTTATCGAATGATTTTTGTCTCCCCGTGACCACGGCTGCTGCAAAGCATCCGAAACGTCGGGCCGTAGTTAAGAATCATTTTCAAATAAGTTTAACTAATATATCGCGTTTTAAACCGTTAAAGTTTTTTATTTAAATGTGTACTACTCGCGTAAACTATAGACAGTATTGGATTTAAATTGTTTTTTTAATTATAGAGGAGGATAGACAAGTATGTGGTTCAATTGATGGTAGGTAAAATATCCCTAGACTATAGCATCTTAACAAGACTCGCTGTCAACCTATTTTGGCTTTGGAATCGGCGGTGTCCCGTTTGTGATTTAATATCCAGATTTCCAGACGAAGTGAAAAATGTAAATTTTTTTTTTCATTTTATTTTAAACAAAAATTACACACATTACAAAAACATTATTTTTTTAAGGAAAATTTCATGCATTATTCTGTAGATCTGTTGGTATAGAGGACGGTGCGGTGAACGCCCGTATATAGTTCTTAAACTGGGAGGACGTACCTTAGACTAAAGAGTTTATATGTTGCTATTGTAGAAAATAAAGAAGGAGCACAATATAATTATAGGCACATATTTTTACGATGGGTTTCTCTTTTTTTAAACTATATTTCCTCTCTGTAAAAATGTAGAACATACAGGACTAGAACGGTCTTTTCAATATTTCCGCAATTTTTTATTTTTCTGTGTTTACGTGTTTCTTTTTTATTATATAGTGACAGTAAACAGTTCAACCAAGAGCTATAACAATAAGTTGAAACGTCATATCCTTTTAACTGAAGGCCGCGATTGTAAAAACCATTAATCGCGTCATCAAACAGCAATTACGTCACGCTGACGTCATACAATATTGTCATTTATAAGGGACCAATTAACAGCTGCACCGAGTGTCAATTATCGAGATCATTATAGCTGCATTGATTAAAGTTGAATTGCTGAATTACAGCACAAAGGGTAATCGACGGTTACTAATACGTTATGTCGGCTGAAATCAATCTGGTATTTTTGGTGCACCATTAATTTAATACGCGTTTTAATTAAGAGTTCATATTATTTACACAATTTTCACTCATCGAATTGTGACCATTTTGAGTAACGCAAAATGTAAAATTAGTTAACTACAAAAAGATAGCTTGATTGAATAATTTTTACGGCACGAGCGAAACTTGAACCGGCACCCACAATACTCTGTGCTGATGTAATAGCATCATGTACAATATACATGTACATGTGAAAAATATTGAAGTTAACTATACTATTAAATAAGTATAATATAATCTCCTTAGTTATAGCCTGCAATTAGAAATAAGAATGTAAATCAGGTGAAAATTCGAACATTTCTTAAAAATATACCTTTAGTTTGCGGTTGTGTTTAAATCTTATTGTATTTTTAAATCTATTGCATTTAAGGCTGTCTCAAAAATGATTTTAAAAGATAATTGAGGTGAATTAGAACTAGACAAATTGTGGGTCCCTTACCTCCACCTTACGTATAGTGCAAACTAAAAAAAAACGAAGAATTTGTATTTTTTAAAAACCGTCCAAGAAACAGACTAACAATATAAGTTATATATTCATAAACTACGGGAGTAAGATGCACAATCATGGCCATCTAAAAAAAAGTGTGTCACATAATTTCCTAGGAGTCCACTAAGCTTGATTCTGGCAACGACGTGAATGGGCGAAATGAGGGTAGTCTTGACCGGGTAAGCACGCCCTCATAGTGACGTATACTGAAGGAATAAGCTAGTTCATGAGACGAAAATCTTTTTTCACTAGGATAACCGGAGAGCGATGTTTGTCAGCATATTTTGCGCCACGTTCCAAGCTGTAATTAGGTTGATGGGATAATAGCTCAATTTGAAGCTACATTGAGCGACAACAGTTACAATTTGCGCCAGTTTATATAATATTTTAAGTAAGATAAGCGAACTACACCAACAGAATAGACAGTATTTAAAATAGACAAGTTTAGGTTTAAATACCCCTGTGACCACGGTGGATGCAAAGCATCTAAAACGTAAAGCCGTTGTTTAAATAATTTGTAAAAGTTTGACTTATATATTTCATGATTTAAACCGTTACAGTCGTATTTAAATATTTATGCTATATATTTTATTTTGCACTTTAATTACTAATAACATATTTTATATATGTACATTTAAAACAAAGTTCTTTCTTATAGTCTAATTATATAAATAGCTCTTTGTACAAGATAATAGAACGATCAAACTATAGTTTTATCACACGACTATTTTATCGTATGTAAAATTGAGGTTACTGCCTTATAAAAATGTAACGTTTCCTGGGAAAATATGTAATTCAAACTAAGTAGCTAACCTGCATAGCGTGTCTTAATTAATTCAGTTGGGCACCTTAGCCAGACGCAAGTTAAGATTTTCACAGCACAAAAAAGAAACATTCCCATGCTAATGTGAACAGGTTTCTGGAGGGAAAGCTCGAGTGGTTCTTAAGTATATTTTCTCCTTTTCATT